TATTAGAGACAGCCTTGAGGAACAAAGAGAACCCCAGAGGAAATTTAAAACACGACTCCTGTGACACGCTGCAGACAGGAGCTGATCTGACATTAAAATGGCCTTCAAAGGTCTCAAGGCTCAGATGTGCTTCACTTAATTGCTTACAGAGGTGCTGTTTCTTTGAGCTGTAATGAAGCCTTTGCTGCAGGGAGGCCACCTCTGGAAATGGCAGAGTGTCGGAAAGAAGGGAAACTGGACTGTGGTCACTTTGGCCTAATTGATGACTGATTAAAAAATCAAAATAAAAAAAATGAAATTTTGAAAAAAATAAAGTGAAATTTTGGGGGGGAAAGTAACATTTTGAAAAAAAAGGCAGATTGTGAGAAAAAATGAATATTTTAAAGAAAGAAAAGTAACATTTTGAGAAAAACGTCAAATTTGAGATGCATTGTGGGACATGTAGTTTATGGGCAACGTGCTTCTGTAAATCGGCATGTAACCATATAATAAACATATTATATTCTTTGCAAGCTCTTGAGTTTGACACCCCTGCATTAACGAAACGTCGCAAATACGAAACACTGCAAGAAGCTTAAAACACAACGGAAACCAGGGGACACTAAAAAGTGGCGCACACAGCGGGGACCGGAGCACTTGTTCAGGGATTATAAAGTTGGCAAACTGTCAAGTGGAAACATTTTAGGAATTTTAAACAAAGTGTGATTGTTGATTTTAAGCAACACTTATTCATAGTATATCCCATTTGTGAAACCAATGAGCTAAAGAGCTGGAGCATCAACTTAATGACTTTATTTTGCGTGTAAGTAGTACATTTAAATGTCATTTAGCTGGCTTGTATTTGCAATAATTTAATAAAGTAATTAATACAATCTTTTCCAAAGCAAATGTATCAGGCTGATGTATTCATGTTTAAAGTGTTTGCCAAAAGTCTTTGGGCGAAACTACTGCGGTTTGTCTAATAAAAGAAGAGACAATTCGTTTATTTTTTGCTTGTTCATCCAACTCTGGAAACAACACTCCCTCAGAGGCAGAACTATGTATTCAGCCTAAACAACAGTTTCATTTCAAAGACAACTCTTGTTAACTAGAAGGACTACATGGTGCCTTGGAGTCCGGCCAGCAGCAGCAGAAACTCTGAGAAGAAGACACCGTACGAGCGTCTTCAAATCCCAGGCTTTTAATTAGAGTCCTGTACTACAGTAGTTAGCACTCACAGGCTCATTGTTATCCACCTGCAGAGAAGAAAGAAGTTCCAAGGCAACAAACGAGCCACAGATATTCTCGTCATTGGGAAATAAAATCTACTTCAGATTTTCCCAGCTTCACACAACAGAGAGAGTTATTGACGACGTGACAGAAATGCATGAAAAGGGAGAAAACTTTACACCTGAGAAGTGAAAGGCTGACACAAGCTGCCGGTAAGAAAGGATCTATGAGCGTTAACCCTTGGACGGAGGATATGTTAGTGTAGCCGGTCTTCAATTAAACACAGAAACCCTGGAGCCATTTTGAAAATGTCAGATCAATTATTTATATACCGGCCAACAGCCACCACTCCTCCTTTGCTGATCGTGGTTGAAGAAAACTGATTTGTTTTTATCCTGAATCCACAAGGATGAATCAGAGGAAATGCAGTACTATTTACTCAGTATTGTTCTATCCGATAAGAACAGCAAAACAAAACGTTGGAAAAACAGGTTTCTGACCAAAAGCCAGAGATGGTAAAAGTACACACATCCTTTACTCAGGTAGAAGTACAGATACTCGTGTTTAAAAATACTCTGGTAAAAGTAGAAGTACTGACTAAACTTCTTTACTCAAGTAAAAGTAAAGAGGGCTTTGAAATGTACTTCAGTAAAAAGTACCCATAACTAGCAGCTGTTTTAAAGAGTACCTGACCTCCCTTTATATTAATAGAACAATAATGTCATTGTTAGCTAATGAATGTTTCCATGCTGAACAACGGCAACATGACAACGTTTTCATTGGTCCCTCTTCTTTAGAGAAGACCAGGAAATGATGGATATCATTTTGGTTCCGGTAATTATAGAATAACATGCAAATAGAAACCCTGGACTTCTTATTTAAGTGTCAACTTTGAGTGGAGTCACCAAAAGTGTTGCATTTTAGTCGAAAGAGAAACAACTTTTGGAAATAGTAGTAATGATGTTTCTGCTTCTCGGTGCAGGAACACTTGTACACTAGCGTGGGCAGTTTTAACAAGTGTTTGTGGCTTTGTACAGATTGTTTCCATGTCTGACATACCCAAAGAAGAGCACTTGCACCCTTGATCAACGTCACTTATCCACTCCAAGCCTCCAGGAAGTGTGCCGGACGTTGAATCTAATGTGTGTAGTGGCCAAACGGTGGTACTACTTGCCTGTATGCAAGGGCTGGTCTGCCTTCACTAACTGCACGGAGGCTCAGTCACTGGTACATTTTTATATATAAAGCCATGTTAGGGAAACTTCCATCCTACATCTGCTCCCTGATCTCACGGCGAATTGTAAGTGGCTACTGCCTGAGATCGCATGCTGTGGTTTTATTAAATGTGCCAACTGCTAGGACTGTCTTAGGGAAGATAGCATTTAGATGCGCAGCTCCACTGTCCTGGAATAGTCTGCAATTAAAATGGAAACTGAGCAATCTGGTGCCACTAAATGTTTTTAAAGCTCGGTTGGATGCTACTCAATCGGAAGCTGTTGGTACCTGTTCATGTGGATAGTTATGTAAATTGTAATCCCTGTAATGATGCTGTATGATGTCCTTTTGTTGCTCTGTTTATGTTTTTAATGTTTCATGTGGAACCTACTTGAGCAGGTCTCCCTTGAAAAAGAGATCAATGATCTCAATGGGATACACCTGGATAAATAAAGGTTTGAAATGAAATGAACTACATCTCATGTGTCAGTCTGTGACGTAATTGTGGACCAAAAATACTTTTTCCCATTGACATCGGGAAAGAAATGTCTGTAAATCAGTGGATATTTTATTTCGTACTGAATCAAGTATACAGTATAAACACTTGTATAGCCCTTATTCAAATCATTAGGGTCTAAAAATGGCCTAAACGCTAAATCCAGAGTTATTGTATAATCTACGCATTCTGTATCGGCCCAGATATGTTAATCCACATTGAGCGACTCTTATAGGAATCAACCGGGTCGCACCTCAAACACTGTATCCAGTTATTTTTATACATTCATGATCCACCCACGCTTATATGTAGTAGCTTAAGTAGTTTTGTTGTGTGATTACATTGCAGTGAATACAAGTGATGGCCCTCAGCTACAGATGTATTACCATATGGTTAGAAGTGGAGTTTTCAAAGCATGATTTCTTACATATCTCACCATCAATAGTACAATATTTAGAAAGAAGTTGCTGCCTATTGTAATACTGCAGCTACTCTTTCTCACACAGAAAGTGAGTCAAGGACAAAAAAGCAAGAGAGAGAGACTGCAGAGATCTGAGGACATGAGCAGGTGTTGAACAAAGAGAGAAACACAGAGTGAAAAGCCACGGGGGAATGAAAGATGTGAAACCAAAAACAACGGGTAGTGACCTCTGTTCTGCGGGCTGGAGCCTGGAGCAGGAACTCAGCGGGTGAAGAACATCAAAAAGTGTCGTGACTGAACCAGAACTGATACCAAATATACATCTATGACATCAACACAGTGTTAGTTTAGGCCTGTTTAACGTGTTTACACCTTCATCCCATGCGTTTAATCCACACATTGTAATCCCAATTCCTGTCATTAATGTCCAACATGTACCGAAGCCCTGAGAGGCAAGTTTGGAAGATCAATTCTCGTAGTCTGATTATCTTGTTCCACCCTATATGTATGCATAAAGGTGGAAAGATGACTGTTTTTGCCAGGATAAACTTTCTAGTTCCCTAGATAAATTAAGCAAACATCTGTGAGCAGGTGGGGGAAATAAATTGCAAGGTGGAAAGAAAAGGTTTAGCCAAGATCACTTTATAAATTCAATTACTGTGCCATCTGGGAAAGCAGATGAAAATGCAAGTTATTTTTTGATGAAACACAAGGTACATCAATGGCTACATAAAATGCTTTCAGTGCTGTTTAGAACATGGGTGGTGGTGCATTTCAGCCTCTTGTGGACAAGATAGGTATTACAAACTCAACCAAATTATTTTTTTCCATACATGATGAAACTTTCCTGATTAATTAACTAATCTCAGGAAAGTTACCTTTTACCTCCAGAACTTAAAGTGCACCTATCATGCTATTTTTAGGCAATAGCATAGGTCTCAGATATATAAATATATATAAAAAAACATGTCTATGAAGTGTTTTGCTCAAAATACCAAACGGATCACCCATTCTAGCCATGCCTCATATCCCTCTATTTCACTTCCTGTTACAAAAGTGCTGATTTGGGGTATAACGCTTTAAAAGAAATATATATATATATATATATATAGATACAAATTAAAAAGGAGGGGTCTGAGCTCATGTGGGACCCGGCAGCTACTGTCTAAACTAAATGCTGCCGTGATGAAACGCCATATCATGGATTATCAAGGATTCTCTCTGAAACAGTATGGAGCTCAAAGGCTTTCTCTCTTGCCGGTTATACCACAAGGTGAGTTCCTTTTTATTTCCTGCTTCTTCACACACATGCTCTCCAGTACAGGTTAGCTCTGAGTGTTAGCCATGCTAATGTAAACACCCACCATATTACGTCCAAAACAGTCGGGCATTGTTTCCGATAGCAACGTTTCTGATAGTGCCGTGGGTCCACATTTCAGATATTACGTCATATCGGACGCAAATCTGGATCAGCTCCGTTGTTCCCCCGTTTTTAGAGATTTGGGTACGGAGGAAAAGAGAGAGGGTTTTATTTTCTGACGCTGCGTGAGTTCCCCGACACACCGGGGACACACCGGGGACACATCTTTATGTATAAAAGACATTAAAAAGTGCATTTTGCATGATAGGTCCCCTTTAACTTCAGAAAGGGGTACTAACCTTTGGTGGTAGTGGTCTTAGAGGTGAGCTCCAGAGTCTCGATGTCCTCAGATCCGATGTTCTCCAAGGTGATGGTGAGCGGCTGCATCTCTCCGTTGAAAAGCTGGACGGAAACGGTGCTCGAGAGTTCCTCTTTAGACGTCGGCTGAGGCGTGTGAGCTGACCTGTTTAGGAAGAAGGGACATTTTCAGTCATGATAGGAAGTAAAATATACTAATTGAACTGTTTTTATGTTCCCTTGCTTAAGTGTTGGTTTGATGTAATTATTGTTTAAATGGAGTTAATGAGGCAGTAAGCAGTCCAGTCAGTTAATTAATCAGAATCAGAAACCAGGTAGGTTTACACGTACGAGGAATTTGACTTGGTGTCGTGGTGCATAAAAACAAGAATTAAAAACACAGGTAGTGAAGTAGAAACATATTACAAATATAACAGTATTTACATTGCAATGGAATGAAATAGAGGAATAAAATATGGAATAAAAATCAGCTGTAAAGCAAAATAATGTCGTACATTGTGTGCATTAATGCTAATACCAAAAGGAGTTTACTCAAGACACAAAAAAACGACCCAATCAAGGTAAAATTACAGCTTTTGTTGATTGGAGTCAGTTTACTTTAAAGAGTCCCTTCAATGTCAAAAAGGGTTGTATTACAGTAACGGACAATCGCTGAAAATATTCATAGTATCGCATATATTTTAACCAATTTCGGTTGTTTTTTTTAAAAGGTGGCTGCTGTCTCCATCCACAAACACTGATAGATAAGCACTTCATAACACCCCATTTCAATCAATCCCTAAGGCATCCATATACATGAAGATTTCTGAGAAAACAAGATGCAAGTTGAACGTGGCTTAATATGATGGAAACAGTTCCATTATACTTCCATCAACACTTCGAGAAGCATTAATCTCAAGATGTGTGAAGACGTGGTTTCAAATGCTCTCTCACATTGTGACGAAGATGAAAAGTGCTTCTTGGAATCTCATTAGCTGGAAAGTCATTTGTTGATGATTGATTTCCTCACAGGGGAGTCTAGCTGAATTAAATGTATGTACTGTAGTGTTTACAATGTGATGTATGTCCATTTATGGGTAAGCAAGTCTTACCCTAGGTGTATAAAAAATAAAAAACATTCGTCTGAACGCTTGATACCTCCCTCCGTTATGTATGTTTTTGTTTCTGTTTGTCCATCTGCAGCATTAAGGGAAAAGCTAATGGCCCGATTTACTTTGACACTTGATGGAACGGTGTAGCTTGGGCCAAGGACGAACCCATTTCATTTTGGAGTGGTTTCAAATCACAGGGCAGCAGATAGCAGCAGATACACTTGCATTCACTCACGATTTCACTCACTTTCTAGTTTAGGAATGGTCAGTAGATCGGCTTCGTATTGATGAAAGACACATGCATTTCCAAGCATTTGGTCTACCTATGTTGTAAATGTGTTATCTTTTCAATGTACACACGGCATCTATTGCACGTCTGTCCGTCCTGGGAGAGGGATCCCTCCTCTGTGGCTCTCCTTAAGGTTTCTTCCAGTTTCCCCTTTAACTGTGGGGTTTCTTTGGAAGTCTTTCCTTGTACGATGTGAGGGTTATTGGGCTATACAAATAAACATTGATTGACATTGATTGATGAAAGACTTACTTTGCATACAGGGAAGGATACACTTTTACTCAAAACATCTAGAAAGTACAGCATATACTATAAAAAGGGAACTTTCTGTATGTATGGCTATCCATAAATAAAATACAGCATATAGAGCCCTGGCCTATAATTCTAATGGCGCGTTTCCACTACAGCACGGAGCACGGTTTAAGAGGGCTGTGACGTCAGCGGCCCGTCTTTGGTTGCGTTTCCACTTGGCCTAGTACCGGCTAGCGGGTCCTAATTCACAGTTTTTCTGGCCTCATAAAATCGTGGTTCTAGGGCCAGAGACAACGAGGCTGAGTCGGGCTGAGTATGCTAAACTAGAGAGAGCGTCGCTGGCAAGGGGGCTACAACTACAACCAGATGGACATATTTGACCGTGATTTAATTGTAATACACGTTTCAAAATGATGCCGAAGTAACAACATACTGATACCGGTTAGTAAAAACCATGAATTAATGCTTTGACAAGTCTGCAGACAGACGGCAGGAGAAACACCTTTTAAAATGCGTGTTTTCTAAATGGAGATTGGCTAAGCTAACGCAGTATATGCTCCGACCGTCCACACTCACAACAACGGCCTATACAGACATAAATAAAGCAGCGACTGTATTCTCCATGACACAGGCAGTCTGTGGTTTGTACTTGTTTAACTTGTGTCTAGTTTCTGAACAGATATGAGGAGCTGTGAGCTCTGAGTGCTAACAGCTAACGGCTGTGTTGTTTTTCTGGGGTTCTCATTGAAGATGACGTCACGGCTCCGCCTACACTGCGTTACTATAGTTACTACCCCAGTTCCTAAACTGTAATGGAAATGCGCCATAAAGTGAGCCAGTCCTAACGAGGCCTAGCCATACCGAGCGAGGCCGAGCGAGGCCGTGTAGTGGAAACGCGCCATAAGAGTCCTTTTAAGAGCAGATCCACACTGAATCACACTGATCGGAGAACTACTCTCTACTTCTGTCATGTTATCTTTGAGAGTTCAAACTGTGGGTCTTCTTGTACATCTGAGTCAGTGACATCACAGCAAAGCACTTTCATCAGCTGTCAAAAACAAAACGCCTGCAGCTGATGCTTCAAGGCTAAAAGAGCAAATACTGAAGCAAAATAGAATATTATGAAAGGTCAATGCAAGGGTTCTCTAGGACTTCATTATGTCATTCCGCATGCAAGAGTGCCTGGCTTGTTAAAATGGAACAAAACACTTTGCCAAAGGCTAGGATTATAATACCTGTCATCACCAACTGCCTTTACGTTCCTTGTGATATTGACAGTAGGTCAACTGGAAATGTTACTGACATTTCAAATGCATTAGAATAGAGCAATCATGGAAAACCTTTTTTTAATGTCATCCAAATATATCTGCAGCAGCACTGAAAATGTTTCTTTATGATATTCCTGATAGTAAAACTCTTTTATGAGGTGCTCCAAATAAACCGTCAGTGTTTGACATCAAAGCTCCAGCTCTCCATCGTGTCTCTCTTTGAGTCCTGACTCCAATTGCTTCAGAAGTTTCCCCCACAACAAGCATCATGTCCCTGAATGATAACATCTGCGCATTCAAGAGGAAAGTGGATCGCTGGACTGCGTGAGTTGAAATGGGCAGGATTGATATGTTTCCTGAGCTGGAGGAATTCATAGGAGGAAAATGATCTTAGTGTTAACTCTGTGAAGAAGTCTCTCACTACCCACCTGCAAGCCCTCCTGGAACACTTTAACAAGTATTTCCCCGAGGAAACAGCTCCGGAAAAATACGACTGGATAAGATCACCATTCACTGTTCAACGGCCGCAAGTCATCTGTCATCCGACATGGAGGACGCACTGGCTGAACTGTCAAGTGACCTCACATTAAAGACAGCTTTTAATGCGAAGACGCTTGCTGAGTTCTGGATTTCAGTCGAGAGGGAATACCCACAGCTTTCCAAGGCCGCGATGGACGTTCTGACACCGTTTGGCTCCACATACCTGTGCGGAAAGACTTTCTCGGCACTGACATATATAAAAAATAAATACAGATCGCGTCTAAACAAGTGGCCGTCTCCAAAATGAAGCCCAGGATGGACTTGCTGTGCTCCATGCATATTGCCCACCCGTCTCCTTAGGTGAGATTAACGCTGAAACATAGCCTACGTATTCCCCAAATGTACATTTGCACCGCAATAATGTTCATATGTTTACTACAGTTTATGTCTTTAAAGTTTGCACCGCAACAATGTTCACTCCTAAGTTACATGGAGATTACTTTGACTCACGAGTTCTGCTGTTAACTTATATTAAATTGCTATATGTAAAATCATATCACATTACATTACATGTCATTTGTTAGACGCTTTTATCCAAAGCGACTTACATACATTCAGTACTGTGGATAATCCCCACAGGAGCACTTTGGGGTGAAGTGTCTTGCCCAGGGACACAACGACATGCTGACTGCAGTGGGACTCGAACTTGCTACCCCCTGATTCGAAGTCCAGCACTCTACCCACTGAGCCACAGCCGCCCATATCATGGTTGTCAGGCTGTTCTGTTCTTGTGTGTTGTCGTTATGCACGTGTTTGGATACGCCTATTAGTGCGTGCGTCAGACACCAGGTGATAGTGGGGGGTCGCCAGTCTCTGGCACTGTTATTTTGGGGGTCACGGGCTGAGAAGTTTGGGAACCCCTGATCTAAAATATGATAGTAGAACAGTAAGAGGATATTCTGCCATAATTATTTGAGCCAGAGAATTCAGCAGAATAAATGAAGCGGAGAGAGGGTGATGTGTGACAGGACATAGCCGGCGGGCGCCCTGTAGCTCACATGCAATGCATTCTGGTCCATATAGGCACAGCTCCCCGAGCAGAAAAACTCCTCTTTCTCGGTCAATGTAGCACGCAATCACTGCTTCAGTTTTCATGGATTTGCCATCAACACAGATTGGACATGCACACTAAAAGGTTGGCAGATGTTTCCTTTCTCACTCATGTTGGTTATGTGAGAAAACTAAGAATGCAGCTACTGTATGTGCTGCAGGCAAAAGGATATGTGAGAAAGCTCTGAAGGCTTCTCTTCGACTGAGGTCAGAGCTGCGGGTCTACCCGAGCACCAGTGAGAGGATTAGATGTGTATTCTAGTTGCTTCACATATCAGATCCGGAAGTTTTCCAACACTGGAGAGAATAAAAAGATTGTCCACATCAAAGGCAGCTGAAGCGGTGTACCTACAGGCATGACCTAAATAGTTGATTTTCCAGCAGCTCTGCTGTCAGAATGATTTATAACATCCCAACGCGGTGCTTTACTCGTGGTAATTCAACCCATGATTTCTCCTCTTATGGTACTTTTCCCTTCATGGAAGATGTCATTTCTGCCGACAGGATGTACATGAAAACAAATTCCCCTGCATCCCTGATGTTTGTGTTGGCAAACCACTGAAGCGTTGGCCAACATAGGATAAAAGAGATTCTTCGTAACAAATGTCTGTTTTATTTATTAAGTTATGTACTAATGGTTTGATTTGTTCAATGCACACGAGTCATTGCACATTTCAATTAAATGCACTTACTTGTTATCCTTTTTTTGTTGCAATTATGCTATTTGGGTTTTTGCAATTACGTATCTGAATACTGGTAATATATATTTACATTAATGATGTGACGCAGAGCCGTTTCTAGCTGTTTGGGGGCCCTATGCAAGATGCTGTTTGGGGGTTTTTACAGGCTACTTTCACGAAAACCAAGCAATTGAAACTTACAACAAATTATATTAAAAAGGTCAACAATAAGGCTCCTCTACGTCCTCTGCAGCATTTTCTCAACAATGTATAATTTAAATTGTTCACCTTCCTCAGACGTCACTCATTGGCTGACAGCCCAACGATGATTTGGACTTTATTACCCCAAAAACCCAAGCCACAGCTTTGCTATCATTGCAGTTTAGTTGTGTTTATATCCTACATTTCATTTGTAAGCATATAATGCTTCACCGAACACAGGACGGGCTGTCTACAAATAAAGACGGCTCATTTGAATTCTCCCCAAATATATTGAGGCTGAACTTTCAGCTTGGGGGCCCCCTAACTCTGTCTATCTTAGGGATAAATAAAGTCTTATCTTCCCTTTTCTATAGTGATGGCTAAAGGCTAAAATACCTTAAGGGAGTTTCTCTCCCACAGTTTTTGCCATCAGCAAACTATTGATTTACAAAACACCTGTGGCTGCATTTCATTTCAAAGCAATCTCATCTTAATTCTGAAAGCATTTTTCGGTGTTATTAATTGTTCCAACTGTTATTTTAGTTTGAGCCTTCATTTGGCATTTGAGCGTGCAACACATCAACAGGCTGGTGACACAGAGGAACATTTATCTTGTGTTACATGTTGGGAAATGTCGTATCAACACTATCTAAGTGCAGTGTGAGAGAAGTACGACAGTGAACCATTTGTCATAGTTTTGGCTCCGTGCTCCGGCACAATGTGAAATGAAACAATAGCTGTGAGGGCAAAGTGCTGACTTTCAGCTTTAGCGGTGTTTGAGGGTGTTCACATCAATCGTGGGTGAGCAGTGTAGGACTCGTTGCCCTTTTTATATTTTTACAGCGGAACAGAGCAAGGTTCTCCCAGTACACAGTCGGTCACATGACCTCTTTTCAATTGAGCATGTGTTTCACTTACTGAAGAGCAGAGTGAGGCCGAAAGGTCCTAACAGGAGGAGGTGACTGCAGATATTATGCAATGAAGAACTGAATACATTTTATAAGAGGTGTGACTTGATCAATGTAAATCAGGGGTGTCAAACTCAAGGCCCGTGGGCCAAATCCGGCCCGAGACTTCATTTTATGCGGCCCCACAAGAGCTTGCAATGAATATAATATGTTTATTATACGGTTACATGCCGCTTTACAGAAGCACGTTGCCCATAAACTACATGTCCCACAATGCATCTCAAATTTGTTGTGACATTTTCACTGAAGAGACTTGCATCATTTGCCCTAGACTTCTGCTTTCAGACGTAGTTAATTATTAAGTTATTACCCTATCCGATAATAATCCAATGCAGAGGCAATCATTTAATATAATACGTTATTTTATATATATTAAATATTTATATATGTATTTTTATATAGTCTTAAAGTTACATCTGGATCAGCTCCGTTGTTCCCCCGTTTTTAGAGATGTGGGTACGGAGGAAAAGAGAGAGGGTTTTGTTTTCTGACACTTTCTGAGTTCCCTGACACATATTGATGTATAAAAGACATTAAAAAGTGCATATTACATGATAGGTCCCCTTTAACCTGTTAAGCCCGGGAGCCCCCGCCCGGGCTTCTTAACATTTAACAAACTATGAATGTGTCATACCCACTTAACGGGAAGAAACTCAGCTACCTGACGATATGAACCATTTTTACCACGCCAAGCGTCTGAAAGAGTGCTAACGCACTTAGCACATAACTCACGGTAGAAATATTGTATACTTCATCGGATCTGCACAAACAAGATATCACATGAAAGCTGAGATCCACTGGTAAAAGTATCATCACTGTGCGACTAGAACTCGGGGCAGCGAAGGCAAACCCAGACAACACACTATACTTCACTTTACGTGGCTAAAACGGCAAATATGTCTTACAGTACCTTTACTGTTTTCTGATCAAAAGTTGTGTTCAATGCATTAAAACGCATAAAAACGCTGCTGGAGGTTAATCCAATGTGTCTGTGTCACTTTGAAATGATTACTGATAATCCATCATAACATTTATGTCAATAAGAGTAGTTTTCATATATAGCTGCTATGAGAGTGTATGACAGTTTCCGGTTTTGGGCGTGCAGGCTACGCATCACTCATTCACCAATGGTAATCTTTAGATGGATTTAGGACCCCCCCCCCTCCCCCTCGATTCTATTGGCTCTAACGGTTCAAAAGAGGTGTCAATCACCAAAATCGACCAAGGGGGGCCAGAGATATGGAAAATCCACCCAAATGACCCCAGAGGTGGGTTTTTTTTGCTAAAAAGGTCAAATGTCACTTGTTTTGCATCAATCTTGATACAGGGTACTTATTATATGTTATAGTTTGGATTCCTGAAGCTTTTAGTCTACTAACCCATCATTCAAAGGTGGTTTTCACTATAAGTAATGTTTTTATTTGGACGGACACTATAATTTACAGTTTTTTACTATGTTCAATCTGAATTTACTTTAAAATAAAAAGAATCTATATTGATTCTGACTTTTCTACATCCAACTCACAGGTTTATCATTGCTTTGAGAAAAAAGATTATTAATTTAACCCTTTTAGAAGTGAAGTTATAGTCATTTGTTCTGGGCATGTCATTTTCGAGCCTGAGACCTGAACAACAGGCTCGGGGCTGAACAGGTTAAAGCACATGTTAGAGGGGAATGATGATCTCACCGTGGCAGAGATGTGCTGAGCTGCAGACGGGGGAGGGAGGGGATGACCTCCACCAAGCAGCCACTGGTCTTCACACTGGTGAGACCCTCCAGCAGGCAGTCACTGGTCACACCGAACACCGACGTGTGGTAACCTGCGTTCAAACACAACATATAAGACATGTTTCAGCTTCAGTGTTCAGGTTTAGGGCTGAACGATTTGGAAATATAGGCTAGTTGCAAGTTAATATGATTGATATTGCATTTGTGATATGATCCACATTATTACAGGGGATATTTTCACATATTTTGCCTTTACTGAATAGTAGTCCATATAATAATAATAATGATAATAATAATAATAGATGAAATTTGCCTTTCAAGGGACCCAAGGCCGCTTTACATGGTGAACAAAAAAAAAAACACAAGTCTAACACCAAGCGTTTAAATCAGCACTGGTAGCAATATGCTATACTTCATGCTATCTGCACAAACTATATCATATGAAAAGCTGAGAGTATAAAACTTGGTATAAGTTTCATCCCTGTGCGATCACTGTTCTACATGATAAATAAAAGAACATTGTACCTTGAAAATCAATAGCGGGTAAATTTGACCCGTTGGCGGTTTTAGGTATACAGCGACCTCTGGCGGTTCTAGGTTGCGGTCGAATAGTCCATTTAGCTTAGGAACCTTCCTAACGGAGTGAAATGACCCGCAAGTCCCTCAGTGGCAGCCATGATAAGAGCCGTTCGAATTCTCTAAATGAAAGGAAAGGAGGTTTCAAGCTTCCTTTATAACCTCCTTTAGCCTAGGAACCACTGGATCTCCCTAACCGAAAGGAGAGGAGAAAATGCTGCCCCACAATGCCTTGCGGCCGCGGCATTTGCCGTCACACAACAGTCGGCCGTTCACGGAAACAACCGATTATGACCGAGAAATGATATCATGAAAGTTACGGTGCTTATTAAGCATTTTAAAACGTATGTGGTAAGTTGCCAAAGTGCTTTGTTTTGAACGTTCATCAGTATTATAATCAAAAAGAGAAATATGAACGTTAGTTTTTACTGAAATGATCAAATAAAGTCAACATTTCACAGTCTTTACTGAGCTGTGTGGGGTTTGTTCAACTTTTAAAAGATGTTTGAATGGTGATATACACAGTGATAGATGTTAAGGACTAACGTTTATAATAAATACATTTGTATTGATTTTAAGATCTTTTCATACAATCATACGTATTGGGATCATTTGTATTAATGTGGACCGGAGGGAGAGGGTGACGAGCATAAGTTTCACTTTCCTTTTTTATTTCAATTCCAACTTTGGTCATGAAGAATATGTTTCTCTGTTGTCCCCGTTCATAAAGCATAAAAGCATCAGAGCACGGTGCAGAGTCTCTAGATGAGTTTACAGTAGTCCCTCGTTCTTATTATACATCCATGTTGTAGTCCGCTGTATAGAAAACTGTAGTTTCCATAGTTTCCCCACAGCAGCAGACGCACATTCATGACGTCCGCTGGCGCATCATAAACACGTTGGATAGTGGAAGTGCAGTCGATTCTCTAAAGTACCGCAGTCTCTTCTCCTAAGTCCTTTTGAATTCTCCTATCCACTATCCCTTAACCCCGTGACCTTTCACTCAGAGGTCAAGGACTAGACGATAGGGTTAGAACTTAGGAGCTGATTTTTTGGACTATTCGACCGCAACCCTTGTGTTAATAAATATCAGTAGGAGTTGAAGCTGAAACGGTCATATTGCAGTTTTGATACAGTTTTGATTATTATACAGCCCTTAGTGATGTTTTAACGAACAGGAACATGAAGTTAAGATGAAAGCTAACGTTTGTTTCTGATACTGAAGTGTGTGCAACAGAAATCCTAGTCAACCAGCTCCCTTTTATGAGCTACATCAGAGATTTGGAGCAGGCTTTTCAGCTGGACTCACCGTTGACTGTGATGTTGCCAGCTGTTCGCGGGACGCCGACCAAAGTGACGGGGTAGAGGCCAGACTCTGCAGGGAGAGAGAGCGCAGCAGGAAGGGACTCGAACTCCACTCCAGATGTCAGCAAGCCCTGGAAACAACATGAAATAGAGATGAGACATGATTGTAATATAAATGCAGAAGCAAAACCCACACGAATGTAAAATCATTTTTAAAAAGGAAAAGATCTCGGCAAATGACAGCAAACAATAAAATATAGGGAAAATCTTTGAATTAGCATTTTGTTGTATTCTTTCCACAGCAATATTAAGCATACATAATGTCACATTTGAGAAGCTGACAATAAATATTTTATTCTGCTTTTAATGAATGTCCCAACATGTCTTATTCTTTTTTTAAATGTTTCAACGCATTAAATATGTCACTACGTTCTGAAGGCCCTGCTCATCATTTTTAGCCATGGATGTCTACTTACCTACTTAATTGTCATTGTGTCTATTATAGTATCACTAATGTGTGCTTTTCTTCTATATATTGATATGTTAGCTTATTGTGTATTATTGTATGCCTTTTTTAACCTTCTTTGCCACTTTTGATGCAACAATGTAAATGTCCTGACTGTCGGACTAATAAAGGATTTCTGATTCTGATAAATGCCAAATAATAACCAGGGTATCAAGATTGTTGTTGGTGAATAAATGTATTAATATGTTAACTTATCAACCAATAAGTTGTGGCTGAATGAAGTAAGAAGGCAGAGGCAGAACGTCCAGAAAAACACCTCCTTGTTGAGTGGGTATTTTTGGTATGGTGTTTTATTAACAAGGACAACTATATACACAAGTATTTACAAGGAATGACAAAAAAGTGATGTTGCTCTTCACTTCTGCAATACAACCAACTCAATCCAACCAACACCAACAATACCCAACTGTCTTCAACCTTCCTAAATGTTCCCACACCACACCGCTCCTCCGCTCCCTTCACTGGCTTCCAGTAACTGCTAGAATCCACTTCAAGACACTGGTCCTTGCGTACCATGCTGTGAATGGATCTGGCCCTTCCTACATCCAGGACATGGTTAAACCATACACCCCAGCACGTGCACTCCGCTCTGCATCAGCCAAACGGCTCGCTGCACCCGCACTGCGAGGGGGACCCAAGTTCCCATCAGCAGAAACACGTGGGTTTGCTATCCTGGCTCCAACATGGTGGAATGAGCTCATTGACATCAGGACAGCAGAAAGCTTACACATCTTCTTCAGACTGAAGACTCATCTCTTTCGACTCCACTTCGAGCAATAAAATCACTAACAAAGCACTTATATACTATCAAAGGACAGGCTTATCTAAAGCCAGTTGAGTAGCACTTGAAATGTTTTGTCTCTATGAAACCTGATGTACTTATATGATTCTGTTTTCTTCTAGTTTGTATCTTCTTGGTCGAATGCACTTATTGTAAGTCGCTTTGGATAAAAGCCTCAGCTAAATGCAATGTAATGTAATGTAATGTCTCAAAGAGAGAAACAATTTCCCTACTTTTTTAAACAGGTTTGTATTTTTCTTTTAAACATGTATGTTCAATTGTTAAATAAAACAGCGGCTGAGATATAAAGATCATCTGTGGTTTCTTTTTTTAGCAAATCGTAATAAATGTATCTATACAAAATTATTGGGAATCATTATTTTAAAAAAGTGTATTATGTATTAATAATGCTGTTTTAGCAAATAATTAAAGCGCAAAAAAAACCTGTACTTTCTGCTTTTATTGTATGGGGTCAAAAATCTATCACAAAGAAAAACCTCTGTTGCATGTTTTGTACAAATGTAAGGTTTGGAGGAATAAAAACAGCGTCAAAACAAATACAAAAACTACCTATGAAACTTCTCCAAACAATCACACCTCTCAGTTCTCATTTGAATATTTGTGCACCGCATGAAAAACATTTATTAGAGATATGTTATTAACAAGGAAAACTATATATACAAGTATTAACAAGGAATGTCAAATAGCCAGGCCGGCTGAATGGTAACCCAACTGTCTCAAAGAGAGAACACTGTTTTACAGAAACTATATCCATCTTCATTTTGCTGGTTTAGCAAAAGAATTAAAGCGCAAAAAAACTGTACTTTCTGGATCCATCAAAAAGAAAAACCTCTGTTGCAGGTTTTGTACAAATGTAAGGTTTGGAGGAATAAAAACAGCGTCAAAACCAATACAAAAACTACCTATGAAACTTCTCCAAACAATCACACCTCAGTTCTCATTTGAATGAGACATGGCCGACAGTTTGTTTTCCCTGTGCAGTGATGTGCAGCTGTCTGATGCTTCAGTGACAGTACAGTGTGAAGTGTCTCTCCAAATGTTTCAAGTGATTCATTCATCACAATCTACCCATGATGCCTCGAGGATAAAATCTCTGTCGGCATGAGATGGCCATTTCTATCGCGGGGAAATGGCTCTCCGTGGTTAATAGCCGCTTGAGCCGGTTGTGCTTGAGAAGTGATTGAAAGTATAAAGTCCCACAGATCACAACACAGAGGGAGGACGGCTCAGACAGGTTTCAAATTCAGCAGTCAAAATTCCCACTGGGCGTTGGAGAGGCCAGAATATTCCATGCCAACGTTTGAATGCATTGGGAGAGCTTGGGTATTTCTGAGACCCTTTAATGAAAGGTTTTGTAGTGGTTTTCAGGAAAATATCCAAACAAATCCTGACAACTTAGATTCTGTTTTCCTTTGAGTTAGGGTTTCAGTAATAAGATATTGGAACAAGGGCAGGCTATCAGACCTTCCCCTCAGTTGAACTGAGAACTTCCTGATATGTCCTCCCTAAGGCTGGCGTCACACTGTCCCGACATCGACACCAGATGGACACACGAATATGGAATTGTGAATTTCGCACGAAGATGGCCCCGAACTTGGTCAACAGCCAAGCAACAGCCGAAGCAAGTACGATGCCTACAGAAGGCCACCCGAACCACACACTCCGTTGTGTTGTTTCCATAGCAACAACAACTTCCTGTCAACAGCGTAAACTCGCCTTCAAAATAAAAGCATCTAAATAAAACAGGAAGTTAACCTAAATTACATTTAAGACATACAACTGCAAACGAAAGTAACAAAAACAATGTAATATCCTTTTCAGTTTCACAGAACACAAATTGTACGTATAATACGATGGCTACACGACGGCATTGCGAGGGCTTCACGTAGTCGTGTTGCCTTCCTAAGACAATCGGGCAGCTTCTTGTTTCCTTCGTATTGTCTTCGTGAGGCGAAAAGTGCCCGATGGCACCGATGATCACGCGAAGATGACACGATTTGACAAGATGCCCTCACGAGTGCCTTACGAAGGGCACAATGGACACACGAATTCAACACGAAAATTAACCTTCGCAAGGTCTTTCGGCAATTTTTTGGCATGCCAAAGATTTTGCCACCGCTCACGAAGTTGCTGCCGGAGCCTGAGGAACTCCACCGGCGGTCATACGATGGCTTAAGATGCCCTCACGAATGGTCCGATGTTGTTACGATCAGAGCCGAATTTGAACATATCAATTTCCGACATTTCCTTTATCGTGTGTCCATCTGGTGTCCATTTTGGGACAGTGTGACGCGGGCTTTACTCCCCAACTTCCAGAATGCTCCTTTGTTATCACCAAGCTCAACCCCTCCCTTTCTCCTCTCGCTGTGTTTAAATATTAAACTCTATTCTTCGTGTTTCACTCTGCAGACTGTATGCTCTCTGTGTGACTGTCATATTTTATTTCTTGCAAGAAAGTTCAAAGACAGCTGAATGGTTTGATTCTCTATCCACATTTGATAAATAAATTCCCGCCACAGCGAGCAACTTCTCTTCCATGCGTCCAAAGATCTCAATAATTCAAATGGTGAATATAGCATTATTATAACTGATAGGAACGACAGTGAAACCTTCAAACTTGTTAAAGTACTGTAGATAATACCCTAGTTGTAAATAATTCCCAAAACAGACTTATTGACGACCTGTAGTGATGATCTCTTTCCGGTAACAATATTAAGGTTTTATCCCTCCGATCACTTCTGAGCTCTTAAGCGCTACTTCGGGAGATATATTGGGATATTGTACGTGACTTTTTTTACTGTCGTAGTAAAGATAGTACTTCCATAATGATTGGTACGTTGGCATATCCAAATTCAAAAATGTTTTCGATGAAGAAACTGACTTACAGACCTACTACCACCACTAAGGCTGCGTTCAGACCAACTTAAGTCCTACGTACATTTAAAAACCCAGTGTTTTCTTTGTCAAATGTGGTGTCATTTGGATATGTGACATGTTTAAAACAAATACACTTTAAATAAAATGGGTAACTGGGCTCTGCAGACTGAGAAGAGGATGAACTGCCTTTACAGTGCGCGACTCATTGACTCCAGATCACTTCTGCTGCTGATGATGGATATACTAACAGTAAAACCAAAGTAGTCTACACTTCCCTGGAGTAAATGAGCACAGCACCAGTTAACGTAATAAACACATTTTAGGCTGATCAGAATATAATTAGCTCAGCAGGAATTTGATCATGAATTGAAATACTGGACATATTTGAGTATTGCTTTGTGATTGGTGTAGGATGAAGTCAATTAAACTATCCTCCAGGGGTTCTTTATGTACAACATAACACAATTCACTTGAAAACATCCAGGTATTTTAGTCTGGACTCACTGACCAACCAATTTGGACAATTCTAAAGCAAATTGCTCGTGTTGCATCAATTATGTGTGAACTCTAAGTTACAACATAAACCCAACACTAGGGCTGTGCGATTATGGCAAAAATCATAATCACGATTATTTGGGTCAATAATTGATATCACGATTATTAAATACGATTATTCATTGACTTTGAAAAAATCCAATACAAAAATAAATACATTTAATAAATAATATCAAAATAATAAATACCAATAAACAAGATCAACAAATATTTTGGAGCGCACTTCCACAAGCTACTAAACATATATAAATATGATAAATACAAATAAATGAGACCAAAATGTTGTTTTCGTAATTGTGGCAGGCCAAAATCGTAATTGCGATTAAAATACGATTAATTGCACAGCCCTACCCAACACTGGTCTTTTCTTCTCGTTCGTCCCCCCCACATCTCAATGTTTCATTGTCAATTTTCGTGACATCTGTTGAAATGTAACTTCTAACTTTGGTCCTTCTTCCATTTGTGCAGTTGCAGACAATTTCATGTGCACTACCGTCCTCACTGAACTAAAAATGATGTGGTTTATTGGAAGCTGTGACGTCAAATGGAGGATAGTCAATGATAAAAGGATGTTTTTATGAATGAATACCAAGACACATTGAATAGTTGTCAAAGCGGTTGCAGTGACAAACACAGGATATATCACCTGATCTGCATTTTATAGTCAGAAAATCTCTCCAAGTGGCTTAAAGGTTGTTTTATTTTTTTAATGTGCACTCAAGCGAGTATTGTATTTACATTCCCAGTACACACGAGGCAGACTGAGGTGACGTAATGACTGCATCCATCCTAACAGCAGACACTACCTCACTAGAGGGAAAGCTGCCGAAGAGCCTCCGAGGTGCCGTGGCTGTGATTTAAACTGTCCTTGCGTTCACTTCAAGAAAACATTTTCCACATTTATTGGATAGCAGAAGTATCAGTGTTAACCTATTGGAAATACTTCATTTGCATTCAGCCTTGAAAAGGTTAATTAGCCTGTTTCACTAACAATAACGATTAGAGCGGGTGCGTTGTATTGTTGGAGCTGGCTGGATTGACTTCATTGTAGAACAAGCGATAGTTAACATTTAGTCTTTAACTAATGCTATGCTAATGGTTTCATTAATGAATACACATCTGCTCTTTGTTATGGCTGCAAACTGATCGCGATAAATGAGTCGTGCAGAGAGAAAAAGACTAAATAGGAAATGATTCTCAAGACAGAACAACTAATTTGGTTTAAAAACATTAAAGGAAGCTCCGGTTTCAATTGTATTATGTAGTTTAATCTTGCTTGATTATTGATGTAAGCAATAAATCCTGAAACTGAAAGCATGATTTTTGTGATTTTGAGAAATAAGTATCACACCCTTCTATTTACGGAGACAGAATCATCAGGCGGTGAACCCTGTGAATAAGAAAGGATGGAGGGGGGTTGGTGATTTTGACAAAAAGCTCCACTTAAATAGGAAATCAATAAAGCACAAAACAAAGCTGGGTACTAGGGCTGAAGTCGTGTGGTGACTGAGAAGGAACGTCTGTCTGGTGAACTGCAGGGTCACCTTGGTGGCAGAGACTGGAGAAGTGACCCCAGTGTGTGTGTGTGTGTGCGTGTGTGCGTGTGTGCGTGTGTGTGTGTGTGTGTGTGTGTGTGTGTGTGTGTGGTTGCTCCTCTCTAACAGCAGTCACTTTGTCTGGGTTACAGAGGAGCTCTACGTCACGCTGTCTGTCTCTACAACAGCAGCTGTGAAGGGCTTCAGCCTCCATCTGTGACCTGATCAATTCATCTGGAGGTGGGCGGAGATAACGACATCCTCATCGCTAATTGACCATGGCTGTTTGATTGTTTCACCTCACAGTAACTCTGCACACAGGCAGACAGATATATCGTGAGAAGGAGTGGACTCGGTGAACTTCAGACGGTAGTTTAATTCGAGTGAATTCGCCAAGAAGGTTTTTTAAGCTTTTACCATTTTAGGCTAACCGAGTCCTTCTTATGAGAGTCCTTTTAAAGCATGACTTAACCTGCTGCACTCTGCTGCCCTTTCCTCTCACTTACCTCCTTTGATGTCTTACTTTGTCTGTTCTATATAACAAAAACCAAAGAAAACGTGTCAGAAATTTAGTACGGAAAAGGAAAAAAATTGTACAAGTTGTAGGATGAAAAAAACTTTAGCAAACTTAAACAAATATTTCCTTTGGGTAGATGAAAAGTCAATGATAGTGGAGACATATGTATTGACTGTGGTTATTATCTCATTGGTTTATGGTTGCTTATCTGTGTTATTGTGTTGCATTGTTGGAGAAGCCCGTGACCTAAGATTTTCAACGACATAATTACTCCGTAGCTATGTTAGTTTAACAATAAAGAACCTTGAACCTTGTTGCCCTTAGTACTGACATCTGATGGTTATCCAGATGTTCCTAACTGGAAGTCGCCTGCATTTCCTGCTTCAGAAACAGAACAGCAGAATGGCTAAATAACAAATAAACCAGCTAACACCTGTCCAACTCTATCTAGACAGCCGCCACAATTAAGAAGCCGCTGTCTCCGTTCACACTACGGCACACAACTTTTGAGGCAATTTGTTCCCGGCTTTCCAATGAATTAAATGCGACATCATTTCTGACAGGTAGTTCATTGCGTGAGATTCTTTCCGTGTCGCTGTAGCAGCTGAAAGAAGGTCTCTCCCTGCTGGCCTTTTATGAGGTCTGATGATTGCTTTGCATTTCAAGGATGTCTCACACAACCGCTTTCATAAACAGACTCAGCACAGCAGTGAGCAGGAAGAACAGCGCTTTATGAACCTGATAAACCAGCTGAAATTATGTAAAAAGGAGCGCTAAGGGATTGGCGAAGACCATGAATCACAAATGGATGTCTGCTACAGTTTGCGGTCCTTTTAATAAGAAAATGTTCTGAACTTTAAAAGCAAGCAGCTTTTTAAAAGTGCAATTAACTGAACTGCCTCATTTCTGATGGCTCTTTTCAAACATTTCTTATGCTTAACTCAATACACAATCTGCTCTGACAGGATGGTGTGAAACCATAAAAGTAATGGCACTCTGGTGATGTTTTCTTACTGCCAGGAGCAAAAAGAGTTGGTTTTTACCATCTTACGCGATCATTACGGTATTTAACTGTCAAAAAAAAGCTTTTAAGGGACATAATTAGGCTATCAAGGATGACTACAAAGCATTATCACTTGCCCTGGTGCAGAGGGACTGTTTGTAATACGACTGCAAGAAAGGGCAAGTCAGCAGCCTCCTGTTTTCACTGAGTACATCTCATTTTAGGTTATCATGTAATGAAATGTACTGACCATGTTCTCCACACGAAGTTCGTAAGGCATGGGGTTGTAGACCATGAGCTGAACTTCACAAACATCTCCTTGAACCCACTGGAACTCTGGTGAGAGAAAAAAGAATACATGAATACATTAGGAAAGTGTCAGTGGTATTAAAACCCATTTGTAATTAATGAGCTGACGAAAGTACACCATTAGGCTGCATGGCTGTTGCAGATGAAAGGCAACCACCAGTGACTTAAATGCATTAACATTTTCAGATTTCTTCTTTTTTATGAATTAAGAACCAATACTAACCATAATCACTGAATGCCCATCAAGTAAAACTGCACAAGCAGTGCTTTTAAACATTTAGAAAATACACTGATTTGCTTTCTTGTTAGATGGTAGTATTAATACCACTTTAATGTTGTTCTGTTTAATACAAGGCCACAGGGAGCATTCTGATAGCTTAGCTTAGCATTAAGACCGTAAGCCGCTAACCAAGCACTGTTCAAAGTTTTAAAGAGGATGCATATTTACAGGTTCATATGTAGTGTCTCTACTTTAAAGAGTCCTCTCCTGCTGATGTTCAGGTGTATATCAGTATGTAGTGTCTCTACTTTAAAGAGTCCTCTCCTGCTCATGTTCAGGTGTATATCAGTATGTAGTGTCTCTACTTTAAAGAGTCCTCTCCTGCTGATGTTCAGGTGTATATCAGTATGTAGTGTCTCTACTTTAAAGAGTCCTCTCCTGCTGATGTGCAGGTGTATATCAGTATGTAGTGTCTCTACTTTAAAGAGTCCTCTCCTGCTGATGTTCAGGTGTATATCAGTATGTAGTGTCTCTACTTTAAAGAGTCCTCTCCTGCTGATGTGCAGGTGTATATCAGTATGTAGTGTCTCTACTTTAAAGAGTCCTCTCCTGCTGATGTTCAGGTGTATATCAGTATGTAGTGTCTCTACTTTAAAGAGTCCTCTCCTGCTGATGTTCAGGTGTATATCAGTATATAGTGTCTCTACTTTAAAGAGTCCTCTCCTGCTGATGTTCAGGTGTATATCAGTATGTAGTGTCTCTACTTTAAAGAGTCCTCTCCTGCTGATGTTCAGGTGTATATCAGTATGTAGTGTCTCTACTTTAAAGAGTCCTCTCCTGCTGATGTTCAGGTGTATATCAGTATGTAGTGTCTCTACTTTAAAGAGTCCTCTCCTGCTGATGTTCAGGTGTATATCAGTATGTAGTGTCTCTACATGTCTCCATGCTTTAATGTTCAAAAAGCTCTTTATTTTTCTCATACTGCCTGTGCTGCAGCACCTCTTTTCACCCTCTGTCTAAAACCAGAGCCCAGTCTGCTCTGATTGGTTAGCTGGTCGGCTCTGTTGTGATTGATCAACCGCTTAGAGATATCCCGCCCATTAGCCTATCAAGTACAATGTGTTGGAGCGCTAGCCAATAGAAGTTGCGAGTGTTACTTGGTCACTATGTTCAAAACAAAGTAGTCCAATTACTTGCAATATAAATCGGAAACATATATATTGCTGAACTTGCAATGGCAAATCTACTGCATCAAAGTAATTGTTTAATTGAAATGGTTTGATTTTGGCCACGCTAAGCTAATACTCTTGTCTCAAAATAAGAGCTGTCAATTCCAAACCATTCAAAAATCTTTCTGAGAAGAGTTGAGGCCATTACGACAGCATATTGATATTATAGTTTTGGGATAAGATTGTAAGTTATCCCTTGTACTGTAGGTGTAATTTGTGAATGTACACTTACTCTGGGCCGTGTAATGTTTATACATTTAATGCATTGGAAATAATTTGAAAATCCATTAAAGCTATGATGGGATAATTTCAACGTGTCACTGTTAGTTCAGAGAATGACATTTATTGAGCAGTTGTGATGAGCCAACAGCAGGGATAATGAGATCAAATGATGTTAGGACCTAATTAAATAGACTCTGGGAAAATGAGAACTGCAAAGGATTAATTTAGCAGGTGCTTCATTCAATCAGATTTGATCAAAAAACAAAAGAAGGGGAAATCAAATGGATTTCAGGTACAGGTTAGTCTAACTTTTAGAAAAAATATGAAGAGATGAAAGCTCTGCAGAATCAATCAGTCCTGAATGACAGATTGAGAAGCTACTTTAGTCCCATTGTAGCCAAACAGATATTCATATTGAAATGTAATTCTTGAGTCCGTTTGCAAAGTCCATTTATGTAAATAGACTTGCAAAAGAGGGACTGACATTTCTACCTCCGACCCCGGCTGGGAAAGGGATTTATGAAAGGCAAACTGCACCCTGGGAAATTAAGTAAAAAGATATCTACGGTATGAATGTCTGTTGAAACCTCAGGTCTGGCTCACAGGCATGCTCCCACAGCCGGCCAATTAGGTGTGAAATGCACCTCAGAAAATAGAAAAGCAAAGTGGATAGCTGCTGTTTTCTTTGTGTTGCCTCAGTCCTAATTCCTCAAATCACCATTGAGACTGCGTGCAGATCTCCGAAGGCTTCAGCTCTTTGAAAACTCATCGTACGAAGCATTAATGAATGTTTTCAGTCACTGCACGGTTAGGTTAAACATTGCCTGTGTTTGGGTTCTTAAAAGGGCAAGTTATTTTTATCAAAAGGTCTCGCATGTGCTGTAGAAATCTTCTTTCATAGACCACAGACGGGAATCAAGATGTTTACTCGTGTTACTGCAACCAGAAGATCAATTATTCTGTTAAACTAACAGAAACATTAATCTTTTATACTGAATATCACACATGCATACCACGCCTGGGCATTGGAGCTAAAACCATACATGTGAAATGAAGCGATCTCCAGAGCAGGGGTGAATGCTTCAGGACTCGACTACAAATCTTTTGAGCTCCATAGAAATGTATTCAAGTCATTAGGGACTCAGATGGAGAAATATGCCTGGAGGATATTTAGCTAGTTCTCCAAATGTAGGTTTTCAAAAAGCACAGAAATGCTGTATACATGTAGTGAGAGAACTAGCTATTGATTTAGAAGTACACGGAGCCCTATTATGCTTTTTGGAGTTTTCCCTTACCTGTAGCCTTGGTATTTAAGTTTTGGTGCATGTAAATGGTCTGCAAAGGCTTAAATCCCAAAGGTTTCAACTATGTAAATGCACTACTCTCATTACAGAGTTAACTACCCTATGTGAGCCTTGCCAGGTAGCGTTGAATTCTCAAACTCATGAATCTTTTTGAGAAAGAATAAAACAATTTAAATATTAAAACTGAGCTTATTTTGAGGTAAAATAGGCGTCAAAAGGAGGAACGGAAGTTAAGCTTGACATTTTAAAAACATTTTATTTAAAAAGTTGTATACATAAAGAAAATGATTATTTGATAGCAAGTTTTATGGGGAATGTTTTTGGAAGTCAAGCGATAAAATTCAGTTACACAGTCACAAGATGGAGGAATACCGGTTCTTATTATCATAATCATGTAGAAAATACTGAGTTTGAAAATCTCAAAATTCTAACTTTTCTCAAAATTCTGACATTTTCTCAAAATCTCAAAATGTTTCTCAAAAATCTGACTTTTTCTGAAAATTCTGAAAATGCAGACTTTTTCTCAAAATTCAGACTTTTTCTCAAAATCAAAATTCTGACTTTTTCTAAATATTTAACATTTTTAATAATCACTCGTCACCGGCTTGAGCTTCAATCTCAGGATCCATGTGTTTGTGATCCTCTCCAGAATGGAAGTAGTCATCACATCCAGAGCATCAACTAGTTCCTGAACAGTGTCCTTCACATGCTGATATCCAAGAGAGGGAGTTACACAGTCACAAGATGGAGGAATACCGGTTCTCCAGTGTGTGCTGCCCATTATGTTTGTCCTCTTTGCTTGGCCAATACAACTTGTATTCTGTGCCCTGGGGAAGTTTTGCAAATTAAAAATCATCATGGTTTAAAAACTCATATTGAGTAATAATGCATCTTCTTTGCAGTTGGAGGTGTCTAGTTGACAGTTTTATAGACACTTCTTTCATAATGATGAAGTGGGACGAAGGATTTGTCCGGGAGAAGACACCAATTAATCTTCGTCTGCTTTTTACCAAGTGTGACACATTTTCAGGTGAGGTGCTTTGGAGATCATTCAAAAGCTCCAGGATCACTGCCCTAGTGTATTATTCTGAAACTGGGGTACAATTTATTAAAAGGGCAAAAGGGTCGACGCTCACTAACTATGGATGTGATGCAGCATTAAACCTGGAAGTCAGCACTTTCACCTCATCGTTCTTACTTTATTTCTAACCCAATATGACAACAGAAACTGTCCAAACACTAACTGAGGATAGATAGTAAAGTTCACCTCCCTATTCGCCCATATCCCCCTGTAATAAATAGCCTGTCCCCCCCATCAGAGTGAATGGATAGCTGTAGACTACACAGTTCTTAAAAATGAGTCTCAGCGCAATTATAGAGGAAACAATCTCCCATTAGAGAAGCCCTTATTTTATGGCTGAACATCAAGTTGATTCATAGCATCCGATTTATAGAAGCGTGAAAATGCACACACATATTTTCTCAGTGTCCACACACACCTTAATTGCCGGAGCCTAGCGAAGAATACGAGACTTTGGTTGCCCATCAGTAAAATAAATGAGAGGGAAGTGATGGTTTACTCTGAAGCTGTGGAAAGTTTACGGCTGTGGCACATAGAGCATAATGAAGCACTCAGGAATATCCCTATAGGGTGCGTTTCACTGATAACAAGGCCAGGACACACTACACCTTAGTCAGCGTTTCTGTCCCGGACAAATGGGAGAAATTCCAGTTCAAATATTATCTGTGTTTGTTATTGAACTTATAAACAATTGACTGGGAGGCTATAGAGAGGCGAAGTCCCTCCCTTTCCGGTGGACCTCCATGGGACCTTATTTCAGAAAAAGTATGCATTGAAGTCTATGGCGAGAGAAAGATTATCTTTCGATCCCGTTTGAATTGAGCCATGAATTACACATATGATGTTTGTCAATTTAAAAGATAATTTTGCAAGTCAAAAAAATTAAAATGTGTCGTAAAACTGTGAAGTAACACTTTTGTTTGTGTGAAACCGCTCAATGAGCTACATCTCCCGTCTCGCACCACACACCA